CTCAGCGGAGGGAGGCTTACAAGAGGAGATCGCAGGCAGGATGAACACAGCATGGATGAACTGGAGAGCCTTAACAGGAGTTCTGTGCGACAAACGAATGCCAGTGCAACTTAAGTCCCAACTGTACCGGACCGTTATCCGCCCAGCAGCTCTGTATGGCAGTGAGTGCTGGCCGTGTACGCGGAACGAGGAGCGCAAGCTCAGTGTCATGGAAACAAGGATGCTACGATGGACCTTAGGAGTCACACTAAAGGATCACATCTGCAATGACACTATGCGAGCACGAATGAAAGTAGCTCCAATTGCCCAGAAAATGCAGGAAAGAAGGTTGCGATGGTATGGGCATGTGCGCAGAAGGGATGAAAGTCACATCATGAAGTCAGCCCTGGCTGTGGAGGCGCCAGGCAAACGACCCAGAGGTAGACCCAAGATGAGGTGGGTGGACAGAATCAAGGCCGACCTGCGAGAACTTGGCATAGATGAAAACCTTGCCTCAGATAGGACGACATGGAGACGTCTCACAAGAAAAGCAGACCCTGCGTAAGCGGGACACATGCGAGGATCAAATGGCTAAGAAACGGTATATAAACTTTGTGTGCATGTTTATAATGAAACATGGATTTGACGAAAATATATCAAATTTCCATATACTCCACCTGTAACTTGGTCTCAAGGAGGGGCAGCCAACATGAACGATAGATTAAGCCAGCCATTTGCGTTGCATAGGTTAAATATTTTCTAGGTTCTATATCTACGCTATGATGATATTTAAAATTTTGGAAAAAACGCTGGGAGCTCGGTACCGCCTTATTTTTACTGTTCGACACCATTTCCAACCCAGTGGAGAACATATCACTCCAAAAACTAAGATTTTAGGCGCGGTATATTGACAACCGCACGAATACAGTATGCTTACTTCCAGCTATCGTTCATCTTGGCACACACCCGGTCTCAAGTGGTGCATGAAGCAACAGTCTATAACCGAAGTCTGCAATAGCAATAATTGCTACCAAAAAACTGCATCATCTCTCCTAGCTACTTTACGAATTTTCACCCTCTTTGATCCTTTCGTCTGAAGGTAAAAAAACCATTGTACAAAGTTCAAAGCCTTCACACTGTGAAATTAGTCGAAGAACATGTAGGCTTCGCGCCATTCCTCATTTGTGACCCTTTAATGAGCTTAATGGTACGGTACTCATTGTTCTCCTTTGCGAGGTGTTCCTCTGTTGGTCAACGCGGCGCGGCTGTGCGAAACATATCGAATTTCGTTGAAGGACAACTCGGCTTTCGCATTGCTCAACTGTTTGTTTTCTGAAGACGCACGGCCACGCAGGTACACACGCACACAAACCATACAAATCGGAATCACTCGTTAGCTAGGCTTTCAACTTATTAGATCGGTTTGGTGAAATCAGCAAAGAAGAAATTAAGTTTGGGCATTGTTGCTAAAAAGTGAGGCAGACTGCAGCTACTGGAAACACAACACCTCAGCCTTTCCCTCCTTCTGTTCCTACGCCACACCCTTCTTTTATCATCCAGTTTAATTTAGCGCTACACCAAATCGGCTCATCTGCGATTTTGTCTTGTTCCTTAAGTGTGACAAACCCTAAAAAAAAACTTCTCATCGTCTTACGTTCATTCATGGTCTGCGTTTGGGCCCTTTGATATTCAAGCCGGAATGAGATGACTTACCCGAACAGCGATCTCAGAGCGAACTTTTATAAGCAGATACACCCTAGAATTGAAGATCAATCAGTGATGCTGTTTCTGTACCAGAAAATGTCACGAATGTTCAGGAGAAAAAAGCGACTTTTTCAAGATGAGCGGCATCACTGAAACGTAAGCATTGTCTATAAAGAACAGGTTTCTTTCGAGAGGGGGTTCACGTTGTACTTTTTTTTCTGAGTCGCTTACATCTTCATATCTCGGCTAAGCGGCATCTAAAGGTTGAGCAGTCAAAAAGATTTTTTGTATTGAGAGCTATGAGCCAACAAATATGCTCGTTGACTAGCTCCTTCCTTATTCAGGTAGCACGTAGGAGAAGGACGGGGTACTGAGATTTCCATGTTCTAGAGTACTCTTTTAGACGAAGGGTAGAATAAGAGTCAGCCTGACACCCTTAGATCAGACAAAACTTAACTACACTAACAGAAATTCGCAAAACTTTCCAATGTTTTTCCAGAACAAAAATCCTTTTGCAGATGTCAAAAAGAACGAAAAGAACATCAGAGATGCATCTCGATCGTCAGCGTCGCTTGTTCACATTGTGTACCGAGTCGAAGCAGGGCTAAAAACGCAGCCCAGCACAGATTTTCCTTCTCAAGTGCACATGTCCCTATTATAAACAAAAACAACGACACGCTGGATAGTGCTGGACTGCTCCCCGTCGTCGCTACTCGAAACTCCTCTCGGATAGGTCTGAGATGTGAGACTTTATTGCCGCAAAGTGGCGACCTTAATAGAATGCGAACTATTCATTGAAAGTATTACTCTCTCACCATTACCAGTTCCTCTTTGATCCGATTTCTCATCCTCACGACGCAATGAAGAACCGTACTTTGCGTACACCGACAGCGCCATGCATCCCCTCATCGGCAATCTCGTTTGCTGCGTTTGCATATGAGGCCATAATTACATTTATAGAATATGATGACCACAACGTGCTCGAGTAGGGCCACTCGTTCTAATTTGGGGCTCAGCATTACCACGTCGCGTGCTGACCCAGGAAAGAATCTGCTGTAAAAACTTGTGAGAATGAAAGAACTTAAACATCTATCTAAAGTTGTTGTAGTCTTAATCCTACTTATGCATAGAAATTTCAGCCTAGCTCTTGCAAACGGTAGAATATGGCTTGATAGATGATGTCACCGTTGTACGTTTAGCTCAGTGCAAAATTGGATGCCCAACGGAAAAGTTCCTCAGTGTCGGGATCCTCAGTGTATAGACATAGATTTTATACATTTACATAAATCCAGTCAAACTCCAATTAACTCTTCTCTTCTTGTCAGTACAATAATCTCTTTTATTACAGATGATATTTTATTATATTAAGAGACTAAGAGACATTATAGTTCATATAAGACTTTGCTTCCCAAAGAATTTCTAATGTAGCTCAATAACCAAAACACAACATTTGATTCAATACTTTACTGAAGTCTCTTGGAGTGAACAATAACCGACTAATGAAGGGGAGGAAAATTTGGTGTTACCCGAACATTGAGAAATCTTATAATAACTAGACAGAATTTGTATAAGTACTCAGCACTTTCTATGAAGGTAAAAAAGCAAGACATTCTTATCTACTCAACGCTTAACATTCTTTACTCCCATAAAGTGCGAGAAGTGGCTTCCAAATCACACATCTACGAAATACTTTTCTGAGTTTTTTTGCTTGTTCGGGTTTTTTATAGCTTGCACACTTCTTCTCGCTTGTCTGCATCTTGTAGAACTCTCATGCCATAAATAAGTAAACAAAGGTGGATGTTTAATGGGAGCGAATTCGCAGTCGCCATCACTTAACTGCTTTGCTTTATTTCACAAATAATTTGCGACAGTTTTGGTGTACATTTATAAGTATCCTTTATCGTAAACAATTCATAGAAGCAGAATTGGCTTAGGATATTCATCTCTAAAATCTGGAGCACATCAGTTCATCTTGTATCATTTCGATCGATGACGAAGTAGCTCATAGAATCTCAAGATCTTTAATGCTGTAGGCGTTTGCAATGCAACTTCTAGGTTCAAACTAAATTTGTTTATAACTTGTCATTCATTTCGAAATTGGACATTACAATTTTTTTCAACTCATTGTAAGTTTCGAATGATGCTAATTTGAATTTGCGATACGGTAACATGTACGATGCAATTCACATTTTTCATTCCAACTTGTACCGAGCAAAAACCAAGCGCACTTTTCCTGGACACCTTCGCCGATCGTATGGTGAGCCTCAAGTGCCTTTCAGGTATCCATATCCCCTATCGAAAACGGAAAAAAGCAATGTGTACAAATAGTCTCATTTCCAGAGTGTGTCACTAAATTGTTTGAAGAAATTCTATCGAAGATCGGGGATAAAGCTCCGTCCTGATTGTAGTTCCATGGAAGTAGGGTTGTTCAAGGCTGATAGGTAAAATATGATTATGATATAAGTGGAAGCGGTAGTCATCATAAACTCTAAAGTACTTTCTTTTGTAATCTAGTACGGTCTTCGAGAATCTCCAGCCTCCATTATGTTTTTTGAGTGAATTACTGTTCGACAGAAATGAATTCACAAATTGGTTTGCTTATTCTGATCTAACACTTCATACCTAAGAAATAGAATGAGCTTCAGATCAGTACAAGGACTTCCCAAAGCATTTTTCGAAATTTTGCTAGGTACTGAAACCAACCTAAAAACGTGCTTTAGCACCCCCCAATCATCCGCATAATCTCATTTTTTCACAATTATTTGTGATCCCTCTGAGAAAGCGCTCTGTTTACTCTCCACACATTGCTGAGAAAGCCTCATGTTTTGGAAGCTGATAAACGCTTGGCGAGTGATCCGGCAGGGTCTGCCCAGCGCTGAATGGGCGTTATGATCCCGCAAGAGCGCCTTTTGTTTGATTCTGTAGTCTGGCAGTCGTGCTGCTCTTGACTTGTTGGCGGTTTGCTTGCTTAGGAAGGAAAGGGCGAGGTTTGGCTAGCGGTCGACGAGGTGGGGAGGGGAGTCTGAGGAGAGAGTGGGCGGCCGTTCGTGGGAGTGGTCAGCTATCACGGCTAGCCACGCTCGCGCACCGAACCTCTCGTAGCCAAATCATTAAATATCTTGTTTGCGTGTTGTGTCGATCTCTCGTTAGCTTAAACTAATATTCTCATTTGCAGCTTGTAGTCCACCTCCTTTTTGCGCTGAATTTTCGCACTACCAACTTCGAATCGCTCGACTCGTCTCGATCGCTGCACATCATTCCCAGTTTAGGCCACCTGGCGAAGTAGTTTCGGGCTACTTTCCCACCACAAAGCTAGGATGATCTTACGACCAGCCGGCCTCATTCACCTGCTCCTCATCAGAGTCAGCTTGTCATGTTTGCTCGAAAATGGAAGGAGTGCCGTATACTTATCCGTCGTCGAGGATGTGAAACCCGGTTAGTGTGGCCGCTTACGATTTCGAAAGATTGTCGGAAAGCGTTCAGAGTGTTTGTACACAGCGCGTCAAACTTGTTAGTATGCATCTAATGCAACATCGCGATTTCCCCTCAACAAAGGCCAGCACAGCTCCGTCCGGTCTTTGTGCCTCATTTCTGTGATTAGAGCGTATGTCCTTCCTACAATCAGGCAAACACAACCACCCACAGATTCTCACAATCGGCCGAGGAGGTCGCTCGCCCCACCTGATTATGGCAATTATCACCGGCAGCCGAGTGGTTAAAAGCGCCACCAAACAAGTGATTTACGCAGGGATTATCCTCATCTCAATCAACACTCGCTCTGGAAGGCGGCGAACGTGCTCAGTGAGAGCAAAGACATTTCGGAAGTAGTTGTGGGGCAAAGTGTTTCGCGAAGTTCGTTTGACTTTACGGCTGCGTCTCGCAATGAACACCGGGTGGGAACAACGAGTTACCTGTTCTCAAAAAACTCAAATAATGACTTAGTTTATCTGCGTGTGAATGAACGCAGTGCAGAGCACGCACAGGGTGCCGCCATTTCATCCCCGCAGAAGTAATGATTTATCAGACCATTAACAGCTAATGTTCGCTGCCGGTCGTAACGGTTTGTCATGACATGCTGAACTGCTATTAACGAACGCCATTTGTAGACCGCTAAGCCCAATTTTTTCTGAGACTGACTAGATCTCCACAGAAATTTTCTACTACTGTTAGAGTGGTCGAAATTTTGCAATTATCATCTTAACCTACTCCATCAACACTCATCAATTTAGGCGACGTTATTGGACACATTCCAATTGAGGGCAGGACTAATGGTGCGGAACCGGATATACAGTTACGAGTAGTTAAAGGTGAAGACATCGCACACATCGTTCCCGGCTCGAAGGACCTTGTTATTGAAAAGGAACTAGACAGAGACGAGGTAAAGGCTGCAGCGCTTAACGTCAAGTATTTTGACGCTTCTATCCCAAAACAGCTTTAGAAGTATTGCTAAAATAATAGAGCGTTTCCCTTTCAACTCTCCTTTTCTCTCTCTCCTAGCATCTGTTTTTTCTCTCAGTGGAAAATCTTTCTACATCGGATAATTTTAGGGTCAAGGAAAACTTGAACTTGTTGTTGAATGTACATCACGAAATTTGGATAGCGATTTCAGTCAGGCAAGAGCTATTTTAAATGGTCTTATTTGAAATGACGTTTTTCTTTTAGCTGAATATATCTGTATTTGTCACTGTCCAAGATGTTAATGATAATGCTCCTGTTTTTGATGCTCCTGCATATAATATAACTGTCAAGGAAGAGTTACCAATAGGTAACGGATGATTTTCTTTTTTTATTTTGAGTGGTCATATTGCATTCAAACTACTGTAATCCCATTTCTCCAACAGGTACAATCGTATTTGCCGATTTTGAAGCAACAGATCGTGATCAACCTGGACCAAACAGTTTTGTTCTATATTCCATAGCACCTGGGCCCCATTCGGACCTTCTCGAAATAGCAGATCAATTCAGACCAGTTGTCACTGTAAAGGCGAGGGCTCGAATGAATTTTTTAAATCATTTTGAATGACAAATCCCTTTTAGAATCGCATCGATTACGAAACAATCCAAAAATTCGACGTTACTTTGGTGGCAAAAGATCAAGGCGAACCGTCATTATCTTCATCCGTACCTCTACATGTAACTGTAGAGGATGTGAATGATCTACCACCGTATTTCAAACGACAATATTATACTTGTCGAAGCATCAAGGTACGAATTATGCTGTCGTATATACGGCAGATCGTATAAATTCAGCATTTAGACCTTCGTGGAATATTACTATAATCGAAATAATTTCGTTCTGGAGTTACTATATTCAAATCATTGAATTTTTCACTCTCTCTATATTTCAGCAACCTCGTGTAATTATTAATCTGATAGAATTTGTTTTTTGAGACTGACATTACAAACCTGCGCATCTCCTTCAATTTTAAGCTGTTCTCTTGCATCCAAGTGATTTCACTCATTTTTCCTTCAGCTTTTGGCTTTACTTTCTGGTGTCTTCTACCAGCTTTATGCAATTCTCATGGGACCGCATAGCTCATTCCCTATTAATATCGTGGTCTTACCGCATCAATGCCCTCTTCCGGAGCTAATTATGGAGTGTCGAACATCCAGTCTGATGCAGTGTCTGGTCTTGAGACGGGTTATAGTAAAACTACTCCATTTCTTGTTGAAAGGTCGTAGTTTACAAAAGGGTTTAAGAGTCGGGGTCTAAGAAGCGGGAATCTACTAAGCTTTGATGAAGTGCGAGATCTTTTCAGCTTCCAAAATTGAAATTATCGCTAATCATCTTGGGTGCGCAGCACCCTTAGATTTCCTTTCATTGATGTTAGCGGGCTAAATTTGCTGCTTAATCTCATAATGCATGGCACCTAGTCCAATTTTGTCCTTTGTATATGGTTCTGGCAAGCATTTTACAGCGATTTCAAGCCCTACAACATGTCCCCATCAGACCGTGACAAGTGTAAAATTGTAATTTATAGGATAATGTGCTAGTCGTTGAACCGGAGCCAATCGTTGCCCGTGATGGTGACGAGCTGGATGACGATATCGAATACGGGATTTTCGGAGGTGCAGCTTTCAACAGTTTCTACTTTACATACGAAATTGTGCAATTAAAAACTGGTCTATTGCAGAATTTTCCAATCATTTCAACATTGACCGGGATGCGAAGATCGTTGTGAAGCTTCCACCTGCTCCACCAAGGGCAACATTTTTCATCTATGTATGGCGATTATTTTCTTCAAAAAATTATGATTCCGTCAGAATCCAATAACTTGTTGTTGTAGTTATCCGTGTCGGGTTATGCGGTTATAGAAAGGCCGTCACTGAGAACTCGCCTATCAAATCTTTTTTTCATCAAATGGTTTCAATTCCAGGCACGCGAAAAGAACAATCCGGACAAAAATGCTACTGCAATACTTTCCCTTAATCTTGAAAAATCCATACGATTCGAACATGACTCCTATTCTCTCAAGGTCACAATTTTGTTGTCTTCCACTCACGACACATAACCCAACACTGCTTTATAGATATCACCTGCTATACCTTTGCACACTGTTCTACTTACAGTGAAGGCGTTCTCAAGTCAGGTATGTGAAGTATTTCAACTAAATCAGAGATTAGAGGACTCTTTGCAGTTCGCTGGGTGGATGAGATGAGGAGAAATATCATATCAAACTTTTCTTCCTAAAAAAATTTTCTGAGCTCTACAATTAGTAAGGAATCACCAAACCTACATACAAAATTGTTCCATCAAATCTTGGATTTGAAACATGCTTCTTTCCTGTTGAAGACCTTAGCGCAACCAACTGGCGTTCACTCAATGGCCTTCTCATGACAGTAGAGCACTTTCCTCTCTTGTAAAAAAAGTGTTAAAGAGGTGGAAGTCCATACTAGCCGCACTATCCATAAACTTATGCGCGGGCTTCAAAAAAAAATTGACTGAGGTGATGAGGAAACAAGGTTCAAGTGCAAGATGAGGGTAGGACTTTGCTTGAACTAGACTATATTGCTTGGTAGATCACCTGATTTGTAATAACTACTTCTAATACTGAAACAATAGACGCTGGGATAAGATGTATAAAATAGGTCAGGACATGAGTATTGCACCGAAAATTTTGAGAATTCGTAAACTACAGATGTATGGGATTCCTTTGACATGATAGAAGTTAGCGGAATGCATGCGCTTTCTGTTAGTTCTAAAAGCAAAAATGGCTTTCATGTTCTGGCAATAAAGTTGCAAAGCTTTTGTTTCTGCTTTATAGAACGTTAGGATTTGGGACTTATCAGTTAGAAACACGAACAAAGTATCATCACCATTACCACACTAGTCATAGGACATGATCATATGTGCAGTAACGAAAATTCTGATGGTTTCAAAGTCCTCTACTACGTTAGACTTTCGATCGTAAATCCTAACCGCAAGCACGCTGCAAGATCTAATTAGGGTATGCTATAGCTTCCAAAACACTCACTGCACTACTGTAAACTAACAGAAGATATTAGCTAATTGAAAGCACTAATCTGGGTTGCACTTTTTTGGCTTCTTAACACTATACGCGTTAAGGACCAGGAAAGAAGCTTACTTTCACTGATCCTACACTAATCACGCGGAGGTGTAGAAGCAAATACAAATACTCCAATTTGGGACTCTGAGAGCGTTGACCATTCCTAGTCCAGACCTCTGAATAAAAAGCTAAGAGGTGACGTGACGCAAACAAAACTTCTTGTGAAGTTCTGCATAGTCTCTAAGCGATCTGCTTCCTATTCAATCTCATAGGTGAATTTAGGGATCTGCAGTTCGCTACTCTCTTGGAAATGTGAATGCTGTTGTGGCAGTAGGTGAGACTACCGGACAGGTCACATTTGCCGGTTTGCCCAAAGTGAAATCAGGAGTTATGCAGTATGAGATCCTGGCTACGAATAGGATTGAGGTAGGTGCGCTGGGGCGAACTCCGATTACTGTACGCTTAACCATTGTAGACTACAAAAGCAAAGCTGACCGTTTTGATTGAAACCGAGTCAGATTGCTGCGCTCGGATGGAATTCGAAAAACCCGAATATCACCTGCAGATGGGATCCTTACCCGTGTTGGGTACAATCAGCGTCCGTGGACAACAAAGGCCTAGCTACAGACTGATGAACCTGAACCAGTAGGAGATTGTAGACTAGTCTCGAACCTTACCCTCCACACTAATATCTAGGTACTTTCTCATCGACCAGGAAGGAGTTGTTCGTCTACAGGCTGAATCTCGTCCACCCTGTGCTGTATGTGAATTGGTAGTGCTTGCCTCACGAGACGATGGAGCTATCAGTGTGGCCAAGGTAGTAAAATTTCCATGTTTTTTAGAGGACCTGATTAGAAGAGCGATTTTTTATGCATTTCAGATTACTGTCAAAAATCCCTCTTTTGCTGTTTCGTCGACATCGGCGCTTACGATACTAATACTGATCATCTTAGCATTGATATTCGCACTATTACTCGTTATCGTCTTCAGGAAGGTGCATTACGCGTAAGTCACAATGTTTTTTATGCATGTACTTACAGCTTAGTCCACGTTCGCTTTGGCAATGATGTCCACGTTTTTACCTTAAGACTGCGCTCACTATAGCATTATTGCTGCAATGCTGCTAAGTGTATGAACTTTCAATTTTAACACTCAAAGCTTTCTCAGAAAGTACCCGCACTAAGGTAGTTTTTTGCACCCTGCGAGATTAGACCAGAGTCAACATTGTGGATCGGAAAGGATAGCTAGACGACCTCGTCATGACACTTCTCGATTACAGATGGAAGAGTCAGAAACGAACTAACATTTGCTGGATGAACACAACCAACGACAACGGAATTACCATAACTGGCACAACGCCAAGTGGAACCAGGTAGATAACGAAAGGGGGTCCTAAGTATGGTAGCGTCATTTCTAACTCAAAATATGCTTATTGCACACCACAGCACCACGTTTTCCATTGTTTTTTTGTATGAATTCTTCTCTCTTTTAGCTTAGCTGATATGGGTACGTGTTCCAACACTTTCTTCTTCCGCTAGAACAAGTTTCGCTGGCGTTATAAGTATAGAGTCTTCGTTTGTCGCGCGTAGTATGCATATTTTGAGTTACAGATTGCTACCTATACAATATATATGGTGTTCGTTAATGATACAGCCTGGCCAGCGCAGTTAACACACTCCTCAAACAGCAAAAATTTGAAGATTACTTTTTTCAAAGTTTGAGAAAACGTACAATAAAAGTAAATCACGCAAGTGGAGGGGACTTCTTGGTGCGCGCTGAAAAAAGTTAGTGCTAGAATTCAATTCTCAATCAATTCAAAAATGTCTCGGCGTTTTTTCCCTGTCGCGGTGCGGAGAATCAAATCAGAAGGTCAAAATCCGAGTTATCGTCGCAGACGAAGCACAAACCCGTACGAGACAGCACGGCTTCGCTTGTCTGCTATTTCCCCGTAAAACACTAATCGACTGAATTAGAAGATGCTGGAGCAGATGTGTCAATGACATGCACTAGGACCACTCCTTTGCACTTTCGTACTGTGTGATAACGTGTTAATCATAAAGCTGCTGCTCTCCTATCCTTTCACTAACACAACCTTCCAAGTGCCCTGTTTTTCCGTAAAACTAATAGTCGAAGGCATTTTAGCCGGCACTACGTCGTAAACGCCGACAAGGAGAAGAACTTTGAAGCAACAAAGTCGCCCGCTCCAAAAAGAACTGCTGGAGCACATTTAGTGCCGGTGACGGTCACCACGCAAGACGGAGCGCCGACAGTATATTTTTGATTTACTGACCTCGTCTCTTTCCCATGTTTGTTCAGCGAAATCCGGTAATGCGAAGTGTCTAGTGACAGCGTTTCTCACTTACCCATTAGTTTCGAGGTAATTAGATGTTTTTGCAAAGTAATCATTAATCAAAACGGTGCCAACCAATGTTGATGCTCACTATTTTTCCACCTCTTCTCTGCTCTGCGGTGTATGAAGTTTGAGTAGCGAATATGAGAAGAAAACCTTCATTATTCAATTTTCCCGAAAATTTGATGTCACAACCAGCAAAGCACCAGGTCGTAATTCACTATTTCTTTCCTTCACTTCGAACATTACGATGCTTACTACTCAATTACAATGTGTTCACAATGCAGTTGTGCTGTCAGATGTAGATCTCAGATTTTTATTGTGTTCATATACATATCTAAATGTTGTAAATCTATGTGATTTGTGCAAGAATGATTGAAATAAAAATTTGCAATTGATTATTCACCAAGTATCCTGCATGAAAAGGCGTAGAAATTTTCAAAACAACGAATCAATGACTTAACCACAGAAGAAAGTGGTAACAAGCATGGTACAAAAATCGCTGGCTTCACAGAACAGCGAAGTTTCCAAAAGAATAACAATGAGCTTTATTCTAAGTGTTTTCCTAAGTAGATGTATGACAATCAGCGGCAACTATCTGGTAACATTTGGCAAATGCAAAAACATGAATTCGTTGAGAGGCGTTACACTTCCGCAAGAAGTGCTCGCACCTAAGCTCTGTGCCGCTTCAACGCGATTCTGGGCACGGCTACATGGGAAATAAATAGTTAACATAACCTTACTCTCATAAATGCTCTATGGTCAGATTTTCTTCGTAATATGTATATTATGGCAGATAAGCCCACGAAGGGCGACCCATGAGAGGCAATGGACAAGTATTAATATGACAGTTTGTTATTGAACGCACCATTAGACATTCCACACGTTGTCACCGTCAGTACCTTCCCGTTTCTCAGTTTGAAAGAAGTTGTGGTATCCTGTTGATACCGAAGGTCGGTTAGCGTATGGATTTGAAATCTCCGAGAGAAGAGCTGCCGAGTCCAGGATGGTTTGTTCAAACGGACCGGACGAGGTTCTATAGTTTGTTATATGAATTGTAAGCAGACATCCAAAGTAAGTCATATTTGAGATGTGAGTTATAGCGGTAGCATGTGCGAAATGCGTTACTTTTACCTCAAATGAGGCCCCGCTGGGAGGAGTGATCCTGACGAAGATCGGGAATGATCAACCCCCATTCCAATCAATCTATGCAATTGTAGATAGTGCAAAACAGAAAACAATACTTCTGGAAAATTCTACTCACCCCCCAGTAGCACATATTCGGCCTTTTCTTTTTCTTTCTTGTATCTTCTGTCGAATTTCTTCCATTTTGTGCATTCCGAGTGCGGCATCATCATCACGATCTTTATTGGCGACATCGAGAATCTCACCCAGTTTCCCGCGATCTTCGCCGAGCAGGGTGATTCGTCGGTCCTTGAAAAGGATCTACTGCGTAAAAGTGGTGCCATATATGAATTCAAACTTGTGGTTGATAGTTGCCAGAATAGATACATTTTCAAACTTCAATTGGATAAATTTTGCCACAGTCATTTTCTGTCAGAACAAAGTAAGGCTCTACAAAAAGGTAACAGGACATCTTCTGAAGTCCATTAAAATCTCAGTGAAATTTACTTGTAGACTTTGTGCTCAACATTTTTAAGGCTTAGCAAAATTGATTTGACGCGCGAAAAAGCAAATCTCCGCCTCTAAAAAATCTACGAACTAATTGCACCTTTACATACATATCAGATAATAAACATACGCGCATTTCCTGTATTCTTTTCGGTAGCCAGAAATTTGAAAAAATATTATGCGGAAAATATAAACATGATTGTGGGCTTCTTCATATAATACTTGTACGCAAACCTTCAGATGTACAACTAGATTTACACATTTGTAATTGCAGTGTTTTCCTAGAAAAATCCGATTTAGCTAAAACAGGTGCATTTTCATGAGTTCAGCCTACTTATATTTCTTTATTTCTAGCCAAATAAATTACAGTAAATGCATCGAAATCAGGGCTCGGCACGAGGTGGCTTACAAGCAAGCTGGATATCGTTTTTGGAACGAAAAGCAAAGGGGGTTTCGTTTTTGTGACCGAAGAGACACGCAAAATTGGCGATTTGGCGACGTTTTTTTTAGTCGACGTTTCGTTTTTTGGGGGATTTTGGGGATTTTTTTAGGTTTTTAGAGGAAATGTGGTTGAGGGTCAAAGGGGACTTCGTAAAAATTCTCAAAAGTCAAGAGGGACTTCGTTTTTTGCATTTTCCTCTAGCCACCTCGTGCCGAGCCCTGATCGAAATTTGGGGAACCTTTCCAGTATGATTAAATTATATGTTTTTGCATTCTGGCCTTCAACTTTGAAAGAATCGCGAATTAATGCGGATATGGCAACCCCACTGCAATGCTTGCTTTCTACCAAGCAGTATGGACAGAAATTACGGGATGTTTCAATATAGAGTATTTACGAAAAGTTGCGACTCAGTCAAATCTACAAATTTGAGATAGCCTCCTCGGAGGACCCAGTTGAAAACGAATAGTCAGTTGAAGAAGAACATACCTTAGCTTTCTCTTCTTCAAATTGTTTCATCTTTGCCTCAAAATTATCGTTGAAAGCACCAAGGGCACAATTTTTTCGTTCGGTTTCCTCATGGAGCCTCCTGAATCACACCATACTAAATAATACTGAGATTAGAAAAAGGGCAAATGGAAAAGCGGAAAGATCCGAAAATACACTCTTTCACTTGCAACCGTTGAGATTTGTCAGTTCTAGTCAAACATCAAGACCTATCAGCTTTTTAATGCCTATAGCTGGATGAGAATATTGCGCCAATTTACTGACGGTTTACAGTCAGGGCTGTGCATAGCAGATATATGTAAACGTGCATTAATAATCTGAATCAATACAACGTAAATTCACCAAAAACAGCAATTATCATTGAATGCACATCGATTTTCAAGGAAACTGAAGTGCGGATTTGACAGAACTATTTGTGGATGTGAAATGAACCGCGCGCAAGTTCACAAAAATAATCTGACATCTGCATAGACCTTTTAGCCTTGCTTACCTTTGCAGCTCTACAACTGTTCGCTCAAGCTGAGTGATGCGTTCATCCTTAGCGTACATGGTCTTCTTAAGCCTATTAATCGTTTCATCTCCAGCATCGCCGGTCAATCGACTGATTCTCTTGAGACTTCCGTTTTGAGAGAAATCCTAGTGAAATAAGTTTGATTATGAGACGTTGCAGAACCTCAGAAAAGTACTTTATTGAGTTGCATCTTCAACTGTGTCATATCCATTTCCCACTGAGTTCGTTCCTGGGCATGCGTCTCATCGCGCGCTTGCTTATCTAGCAGCGTTTCGTGCAGAAGACGTTGTAGATGGTTTGCGCGTTCGGCAGCCAAGGTTAGTTCGTCGCAAACCTGAAAAACAACATTCAGTGAAAAGGAATTCTAATGCGTTCAGTGAATCAGCATCACCTTTTCGCGCTTTGCCAGCCGTTCCTGAGCATTACTCAGAGCTTTCTCGAGCATAGAAATGTGTGTGCGCTGCTCCTCCAGGGTAGCGTTCTGCGCCTCCAACTCGAGACGCTGCCGCTCCTTGACCGCCGCCAACTCTTTGTCTGAAACACTTGGCAAGCATATCAAGGTGTACGATTTCCAAACTGAACATACGAACTCTGTGGTATGATCTCTGCCAGAACCATATTTAGTTGATTGACTTTCTCCATTGCTTGAGCATTTGGTAGCGAAAACTGTTCAAGCCGATCTTGGAGAGCCTCCTTTTCGGATATTACCCTGATAAAGATATCCTAACAAGAATAAAGAGAAGAGCAAAAATTAGCAAACCTTTTCAGATGCATTTCCATCTGAACCAATGCTGATTTCTCTACGCCTTCTTGTCGCTCCTTCTCTCGTAAAAGATTTTCGTAATCTTTTTCTATACGTTCATAAGCAGCTTCCATCTATAGAAAGAAAGCATGTCACATGAAAGGGAAGATATTGCTCGGCAAATGAGGGGAAGAAACTACCTGCTGGAGTTTTACGAGCTTTTTCTTGCTTGCCTCAATCTCCCTCTTCAGATGCAGGTTTTCCTCCCGAAGCGATTGTATCAACTTCTGGTTGTTTGGAACCTGAAGCGTCAACTATTACCATCTTCCAGGAGTTCTCCCCCAACTCTTGACTATTAGAAAGGCGTCAAAGATAACAAACATGATCACCCGACAGCCAAAAAAAAACAACCAAAAATTAGCGGAAAACGCACCCTTTGAATCCCATTGCTGCTCGATTGTCCTTCATGTTGTTCACACGAAGTAAATCCGGAAGAAATTCGATTCGAGAATTGGGTCACAGATTGGTGAACATGACTAGCAGAACTGAATAAATGACAAATATAAAAGCAACTAAGATGACTCGTGTAAAACTCACTAATCAGGTGGCTTGTCAGAAATTGCTATCAAACACGGTTGTGAATGACTCATGGGGTGTGACCGACCAGGTGAAGGAGCAACAGATACAGAAGCCACACCACTACAAAAGCAAATTTGAACAAGGAAAGTAATGCTTATGGGCTGCATAGTGTGAAGAGTACGGAAAGGGAGAGGAAATCAAAGTCTAAATAAACTCACTGATTCTCAATCTTGTTAATATTATTTCTGGATTGAGTTTTTGTCTGCAATGAAGTTGGAGCTCGTTGTTGCTGCAATTTTACTTGACTCTGGTATTTCTCCAGCATCATTTGTAACTTCCTGTCGCCATCATCACCTAAATAACAGCGGTAAAAACATAAGATCACATTTCCTCGAACAAAACCAAGAAGGAACAAATGTTTGAATGTCGCGTTCCAGAACGCACGCAAATACCAATTTCATTTTGGTAAACATTGATAATTAAATCTTTTGAATCATTTTCATTTGTTTCGACGCCCGCTAGGCAGACCGTGTTCAGCACGTGTACTATGGACTTCAGGCTAAAGATTCGATTTTTGGTTAAACCAATCCAAAGGGTTTTTCGAGATGCTTAGCTTGCGCATTTTGCTATCCGTAAGCCAGGATGTATTAAACTCAGACACAAATTGAAAAGGCGAAAATAAAAACTTCCAATTTTAAACTGGCAGCCGTCGGCAAAGCGATCTCGTCTGTCTGTAGCCTTCAATGCGTGCGCAAACTTCAATCAGTGTTTATAACAAATACATATATGGAGCTCCAAAGTGTGAAAAATGCACTAATAATGCATTCATAAAATTTCGTAGACATCTAATGAAGTTAACACACACGGTAAAGCCAAGCAGTTCCCTTTGATAATACGAATACTAAATTTAAGCACCACTATTGTGAATGTATTACGAGTTTGTTCGCTTGTTTTGAACATTCACCAGTTCATCTCAGTTCAAATTGCTTAGGACATAACGTAGCTTTTTCTACTCTCTCTGGCAACTATGTCTATAAAAAGATCTCTTCAAGCGCGACTGAATAATTGCTGGCAATATCATACCTATGGTTGGAGAATTAAGGTGTATCTAGATTCAAAAAAGGCGACCAACTGGAGATAGTGCATATATCTGAGGAAATCTGCTGAACAATTTCATTTAGGAGTTATAGCTTCACTGCCTTGCACATAGTACAAATATCAAGAAAACTCTGATCCACAAATCTGTGCGTTGATTACGGCGCCGGATGTTGGCACCGGGGGGAAGTGAGCATGACGATTATGATAACAAACGGACAGGTAGCTGGCATATAAAACTGGGATGGGCACAAAAATGTTTTGTAGAGGTGGGAAGGAATGGTGAGTTCTACCATGTTATGGTAATAGAGATCGAGCGAAGTCAGCGTCCCAGCTAGTAGCTCATAACTGTGAAATTTTGTGAAATACGACCCGACATTCTTGGAAAGCTACGGTATTTTATTGTCACATATTCGTATACATAGACTCGAAATATTTTCTGGTGCAAATAATTACGAAGTGCACTAAGGGTCCCTGTACTACGTGCATACATTTTTCTTCTCAAACCCGCTACGCACCTTTCACGTGTGCCCTGTTGTCCGTGGAACCGGCTGTGGAGGACGCCTGCTGCATCTGTTGCTGCTCTTGCTGCTGCTGATGTTCCTTCCAAAGACTCTGGAGCATTTTCGACTCGCTGAGGTGCATCGGTGAAACAGCGTTGATCCGTCTTCCATCCAACTCAGCCGATCGCCCTCGGCTGTTCCGCTCCGCCGATTCCATATCTAACACGAGTGAAGACGAGAGGTATCGGATAGGAAGATTCAAAAAAAAAATAGGACATCTGAGAAGGAAACTGATGCAATGAAGGAGTGACGATAGAATAGTGACAAAATTTTCGTACAAAAAAACCAGCGAGACTCTGAAAGGACCTTAGTACTGCCAAAAAAATCAGTCAAAGGGACACCGGAAACACACATTTGGAAATAATAAATTACCAAGTCAGAAGTGATGCATTGAAACGGTGCGCATGGTCATGAGCAAGTGTGGAACAGTGAGAGAACGGGAGGGACAACGAATAGGAACACGAGATGAACATCGACTTCCAACTCCATTATGGGCAGCGCTTTCGCCTGTCACTAATGCGCAAAATAAAGATGACACGATGTTTTCAGAAGACAGTTCAAATTCAAGAAAAAGACTAAGCTCGGCATTTAAATCTTTCCTGATTAAGCACTGCATTGAAGTCCCTTTATTAAAGCGAGGAAGTGCGAAGTAACAAGTTTGATTACAGCGTTGGGTTGAGAACAGAATTCAGAAAATACATAAGAAAGATTCTTCGGATTCGCATAAAAATGCTGAATTTGAAGAATGAATCTTAGTCATCGCTGAAAAATTCACATTCGTAATGGAGTACGTTATTCAGCATGAGCGACTGCACTTAAAAAGCAACATACTAGAAAAGATAAAATTACGGAGTTGAAATGACGCGGAATGAAACAAATATTAAAGTAGAAGAAGTAGAAAGAGAACAACATACTCAGTTTCAGGAATATGAAAAAGTATATATGTTTGATATATAGTTTGAACACATGAAAGTATATGTTGTTAAGTAACACGGGGCAGTTCTCAAAGCATGTTTACCAACGTACTTACAAGAAAAGATCAGTAAGAATTCTCTTCTACGAAATAAATATGACACCAATCAGACCTTAACAAGAGTTTATCAATATTAGGGCGTTAGGGCGTAAAATGATTGCGTAAGTCAGACCCTTGTATACCACACATTCCTATGTCGTTCAGTGTGCTTTTTCCAGTTGATGATAAGAGTGTCGAACATTCTTTCAAATTGGCGACATAAAACAAAAAGAACAGAGATGAAGCAAGTAAATAGATTAGCAGTTATATTTTTAGTACTGCCAGGACTTCAGTAACTACTAGGAAACAGCGTGCAATGCACAAATTAATCTTAGTTATAAAACTCGCGTGATTAATTACAAGTTAAATTTAATAAAGATATGATTTCATAATATGCCACAGCACGGTTGTACATGCCTGGTTGTCATTCTCTGCAACTAAACAGAAGGCCCAAAGTTCAGTTCAATGTTGGGAATTCCACAGAAAAACGCTATGCCTTTCAACGCGATGATCAATGCTCGGTAACACGACGGCATTTCTTTCTTTTTGCCAAAATCAATCAACACTGGCCAGACAACCTATCTGATGATGCAGGAGAATTCGCGAGGAAAAGAGGCTAATTAAGAACACAGGTTTCGACTGTCTGAGAGAAATTTTCCATCAACAGATGAGCTAGCCGTAGTAGCTTCATTTCTGGCGCAGAATCAGAAGTGAATGAAAAAAAAAACAATGGGAGGATAGTATGTTTTTGTGCTGTTGTGTTGGCAGAAGCTATGGCTCAATGAAAGGAAGAAATGGTAGCAGAAAATGGTAAAGATAGTTGCAAGCGAGTGCAAAATAAAAATGAAAAGCAGATTCTATATAGAACAGTGTGCTTTTCCATCAGAAATTATCTAAAAATGGAGTTTACGCGTATTGTTGGTATAAATTAGGGAATTTTACACAACTAATGAAAATCGAAACAGCCACTACTATCGAGCGAAAAAATGGCATCACGAAGTTGAGAACAGTGTAAAATGTCCTAATGTAATTACTGCTGGCAAAAATAGCAGGGCACGCAAGTGTATGATAGCGCTATGGATTGAAAAACGCCGAACAGCAGGTGCACTACAATCGAATTCTTCAGGTCAAAGCTGGAAACGCTTTTCTCGGCATGCGTGGTCAATCTTCTGGGGGAAGTTTGACTTTGAGAAAATAATAATCAAGGAAAACTTTTGGAATGACGTCAGTGGCCGGGCGAACATCGCGCGATCGGGCAAACGGCGGTATGCAACCGTATCGATTGATCGGCCGCCGTGGCCTGTCGCCAAATTAACTGCGCCCCTGGCTCATCTTGGATTCGTATGAGAAGGGCTCATTTTCAAACGAGAAAGTACGCAATAGAGATTGGATTGTTCTCTCGTCTTCTGAGCAATATCAGATATGTCATTAATGCTCAGCTCGTCCAATAAAATTTAAGAACCAAGATAAGACAGTTCGCGATGTAACCTGAACTGTATGTGAGTTTAGCCTATCACAATATATAAGCTGCAATAGAAATCGGCTAGTTACACTGCCACCGCTTGTCTCGCTTTGTCCCCATGGCCTTGCCACTGCACAATAAAAGTAGTGCAAATAGTCCCGGTGCAATGGTCATTTACGAAAATAAGCAAGTGCAACATGTCCATTCTATAACTCGTATACTCTGCGTGATGTTGCATCATCATTGCATCAAGGTTTTCTTTCTTTGCACATCCCGCTTTCTTCCAAATGCAAAATTATCAAAGAGCTGTAAATGCAGCAAAATAGGCTTCCCTTAATCGCTTATAGCTCGCGCAAGGACGGTGATTTTGCTAATAAAAAAGTTTTGAATAAAACATTTTAGGATGGCAGCATATACTGCGCAGCCGAAATATGTTTTATTACGGACCTCAAGTAGTCCCACGAGCCAAACAAATCTAGCTCGGACAACAACAAGTATGTTTTTTCATTATAACCCATGTCAATAAATTCGAAGCATAGACTTGTAAAATCATTCTTCAAATGTGCGATTCCTTCAAATAGTTCAACCCTATCCATTGTTTGCATTTTTTACCGTACTGTATTCCTCTTTGTTGCTCCGGAAGATTCATACTGAAGTGGTTTCTTAAAAGCTGCACTTTCTTTTGTTTTTCTCATAGCTACTAAAACATGTCTGCAGAATTTTGTGATTTTTATAAGAGATCATCTTCTTCGCTTCATTATCAGTGAATCGCTCACAAACTCCTGTTTCGACACCAGGCTTAGATCCAGTAATGTGATTTTCATGGTTCTTTTGATACTGTCTGCAGTGCGCTGAAATACGCTCCAAACGGCTCGTATTATCATGAATGATGACTTATAGATCAATTCAAGTTTGAACCTGATGCTTTAAGCTTTGTTTATCGTATGATTCAAAATAGATATTTCCGCCCCCAGCTTCAAGAAGTGACACAAAAAGGTGATACCTTCGGGACCATTTTGATCAGTAGACCAATGCGAGGCGATAGTTCATAGTTAATGGAGGCTAGAATGTATACCGCATCCTTATGCTGTAATATGCCCACGATCATGTCATGTGGTCAGCTGGAAGGAACTGCTGCTGCTCCTTTGCTTTGCGCACCTGGTGATACTTACTTTGTCTGCTAAGTTCCATTTCTTTTCGACCATCGTAATTTACACTTGAGATGTTGACCTCTCTTGATAAGTTTTCGCTATTTCTACGTTGATCGTAGGTGCAATCCTTGTCCGCTGCGTAATTAATTCCGCATCATTACGTTCCATTACATGACACATCTCTTTGCCTTAACATTTCAAAACTATTTCATGGATAGTTATTAGATTTATAAGATGTTCATCTACGATGCTTCTCTACACATCCTGAAGACAGGAAATTTGAGATGATACGTTATAAAAGCATCAAATTCGATTTATTCTATCAAACCACTACCCTTCTTCAATACCTTTTTTAACTTGATAACACATTGCTACGTTGCTTCTACACAGCTTTTCTTTGTGAAGACTTTCTCCTTTTCCTCGGGATACGCCTTGGCATCTACTGACATTTGTAAGCTCTTGAAATTAAACCGATCAACTGGCGAAAAAAGCTATAAATCCATCTCAAATAAGTGCTACGAATACCAGAAATGTTCGTTTGCTGCTTTTTCCTGAGATGATCTCAGTGTTTTTGGCCGCGCAGAGATGCATGCTCATGACCGTAGCTTAGGCTGCGTTCATACTGATTCCCATGTTCTGGAACTGTTCCCGCACAGTTCTCGCACTGTGCTGAAACTGTGCGGGAACTGTGCGGGAACAGTTCCAGAACTGTGCTGCATGCGCTGCAGCCGCCCCGCACCGTTTTGAACGGCGGGAGTTGGAGAATTTTGACCGTTCTCAACGGGTTTTCTTCCAGATTTCGCTTATTTTGGCCTTAATCCTCCACCCCGCTTCCCTTTTTGATCAGCAGAACTGCGAACTCGAAGCGGGGTTGAAGAATGAGCGCTTTTCTGCGCCGTGTATTCGGAAAGATGGGTTATCGTGCGATTGTTCATTCTGTCCTCTTGTTTTTTGCTCAAAACTACTTCATTTGTTCCAGGAAGCGGCTGCCCAGTTTCCATAGCCATCTGCCACGAATTAGGGAGTAGGAAAAATCCTGAAATTGCATGAGTTGGGACTTGCCTCTTGTTTTTCATGATTTTGGGCGTTCTTAGCCTTGTTCGTTTTTCCATGTCGTTGCTTCTCCGTTCTTTCTTCTACCCGCTTCTCCTAGTGATGAGAAAAGCTGTGAATTTGAAGCGGGGTTGAGGATTGAACGCTGTTCTGCTCCATGTATCCGGGAATATGGACCTTCGTGCGCTCGTCCATTCTCTCATCGCTATTTTTGTTCAGACCTATTCATGTGTACTAACAAGTCGCTGCGTAGTCTCGCATCTGTATTGAAATTGAGATAGACAAGTCTCTAGAACACATGAAGTAGGTCTGAACAAAAATAGCGATGAGAGAATGGACGAGCGCACGAAGGCCCATATTCCCAGATACATGGAGCAGAAAAGCGCTCATTCTTCAACCCCGCTTCGAGTTCGCAGTTCTGCTGATCAAAAAGGGAAGCGGGGTGGGGGATTAAGGCCAAAATTAGCGAAATCTGGAAGAAAAACCGTTGAGAACGGTCAAAATTCTCCAACTCCCGCCGTTCAAAACGGTGCGGGGCGGCTGCAGCGCATGCAGCACAGTTCTGGAACTGTTCCCGCACAGTTCCCGCACAGTTCCCGCACAGTTTCAGCACAGTGCGAGAACTGTGCGGGAACAGTTCCAGAACATGGGAATCAGTATGAACGCAGCCTTATGATAAATTGAAATAAGGGAATTTTTCGCTCAGAAACGGTTCAAAGCGCAACAAGATTAGTCATGTCAACATAGGTGGGTTGATGCATCCTATTTTTGCGTCTTTGCGCGACAACACGCAACGACTCTCCATCATTGGGCGTAACTGCGCTTTGCTGGGCAAAAGGTGATGCGTTAGTGACAATACACAAAATACGCGCCTGTGCATACAGGGCTTATCAGTCGCAGTGTCGCTTGCATCAGCATCTCCATTCCCGCGCCGGACTCTGCGTCTCTTCCCAATATGCTCTCTAATCACTTTCAATCGATTGAGGCTCCGCCTTTTCCACGTTCGCCCTGGGAAAGTGATCAGAGAGCGTGTTCTCGGAAGAGATGCAGAGTCCATCGCGGGAATGGAGATGCTGATGCAAGCGACACTCCGTTTGATAAGCTCTATATAAGAGCTGCGCATGGCATATCCGTAAAGATTAAGCCTCTAACTGCACCTTTTAGTACTGTCAAGTTCACTGGAACGAGGTACATACACAGATAAGTTGCAGTTAGACCCAAAGCATACCTAACGCGATTCCAGCAGCTGCGCGATCCGGTACTGTACGATTCTTCATACTCGTGTCAGCGGTTTCGCTTAGGCGAGACTTGGTGCGACTGCACATCCCACAGAAGCTACAGTCGAGTAGATTTTCCACTTAATCTAGCGTGCTTGCACTGAAAGTGAAATGCGGTAAAATTTGCGCGTGAACAAGTAACTACGGCAGTATTGCCAACCTTTTGCGCGCACAATCGACCGACGTCACAGGCGCAGCTATTTTTTGACGCGAAATTTTACCGCATTTCACCTTCAGTGTGACCACACTATATTAAGCGGAAAATCTACTCGACTGTACCCTTATGCATTATTGAGCCGTGCGCAGTAAACCTGTAGACATCTGGCAAGCTCTGAAGTCGCGTGGATGTAAGGCAGGCTTCAGACCGCGCTCAAACTCGCCTGTGCCCGCCCGAAGCCAAAGAATAAAATGAAAGAAAGAAACAAAGAGATTTGCTTGGAAACTGGCTTTTTGAAGCACAAATGTCGCGCGCTGTACATGTACATTCTATTTACAAATAATCAAGTCTCCCTTGACTGAACGTTCGAGCGATTACAGGCGGATTCAGGCGGGTTGCGGCGGGAAAAGAAGCGATCGAGCGTGGTTTGTGGCCTGTAACATTCAACAAAATTGCGGAGATATCCTTTAGCCCTCATGGTGGTGCAGTCGAACGTGCAGTCAAACTTCATTGTCAGTTTCAACTCTGTCCAAGCTGGAATTGGGATATGCGTTTACACTACGCAAACTTCGCTCGTTTCACAACGATTATGCATCGTGACCCGAGTTATGCGTCTGTGTGCATTGCAACTGAATTACATGCATATACAATATATAAGATTATTTGTTAAAGTTGCGCACGCGAGCGTGCCTGCAACGCGGCTGCCTAGTGGAGCGCTGTGCTGACTCATGCTCGCGAATGCCAATGTTATCCCGCAAGAGTCGCACTCGCGGGGGTTCAGTCCGGGCGATTCCGTGCAATCAACTACAGCCACATTATATTTATACATATATAAAACTAAGAATTTGTCTGTGTGTTGCTAAAGATGTTTCTGTTGAATAAAAATCTTCCTGAAGCAGAACTGAGCTGAAATTCCATATAACTGAACCATGGCGGAAAATACAGACTTTTCGTGACAATTTATTGGGTCCTCCTATCATTAAACGATTTTCTTACGTGTATGTGAGGAAGTGAGGGATTATCGATAGTTATCGTACCACTTGCATTAATTGCTCTGAGCAGTATAGCCCAGTCTTTACCTGGCAAGAGGAACTTGGTGAAGGATACCAGATAGGTCCTTGCTCTAAGTTAAGAAGAAGTCTAGCCTGTTCTGGACTAAAGCGGTTTCCTTAGGCTAGGCGGAGACAAGCGATGCGTACCACTAACAACTGAGGACTTGCGCCAAACTGAGACTTGATTCAGTTGTTTAGCTCACCTGGGTCGATCGTCTTTGGATGGTTCTAAATCACAGGTTCAAAACCGGACAGAGAAGGTTGGCTTACAGGTATTTGCGGTAATAATCATCCCAGATATGCCTTTGTTGTCTCTTACCAGCGTGTCAACGGAGTTCTTGAAGTTGAATGACGAGTCGGTCATCTCGTGTGTTTCTCTCCTACGCGATCATTCCTGTGATTGTGTTTATCTTCTTTAATACTTCCTGATGTGAAAGGAAGATAACCTAATCGATGCTGTAACTGACGGGAAAATGAAAGTCAAAGAGTGATATTCATAATGCATCAGCGACTACACAAGAACCTGTAGTAACAGTGGACCATTTTGAAAATTCGAGAAAAAGAGGCAGAAGCAATAATTCGCGGAACGTGGAAGTACATCCTCTTCGATAAATGACATTATTTTATCTCTACACACCACTTGACGCTTTTTCAATGTGTTTTTGACTGATTAACTCGAGTTACTTCTTTTATAAACTACTCAGACCTAACTCCAACTCTGAACTAGGATCCAAAAATAAAACACGTGGTGTATAGGCTATAGAATTCAACGAAGCTGAATCGAATTAGTATTGCTGACATAGG